TGTTATTTGTTGTTTAGGGGGGGGGGTGGGGGGGGGGGGGGGGGTAAGTAGAGGTAGATTTGAGACATCTTTTTTAGTTTCCTTCTCCATCAGTAGTGTAGCTAGCTGACTGCTGGTTCCTGGTATAAAGCAAATTAGTCTCAAGGCTGCTTTTATGTTGGCTACCCAAGGTCCTCCTTCCTTTCCCCAAAGCCAGTCTTGGCATCTAAGCATTGTTGGGACAAAAGATACACCATTGTAACATGTCTACCTTGGGGATTTGAGACATCTTTTTTAGTTTCCTTCTCCATCAGTAGTGTAGCTAGCTGACTGCTGGTTCCTGGTATAAAGCAAATTAGTCTCAAGGCTGCTTTTATGTTGGCTACCCAAGGTCCTCCTTCCTTTCCCCAAAGCCAGTCTTGGCATCTAAGCATTGTTGGGACAAAAGATACACCATTGTAACATGTCTACCTTGGGGAACGTGATAAGGATTGTGCATACTGCCACAAAACTCCTCCACACACATCCAACTAGCACAAAGGAGCAAGAGTGAAGTCTAGGATCTCGCCGTATATCTCCTTATTCAGTTAGGATATCTCATTTTGCACTACTACATTTATGTCATATGTTTAATCAAGACACAAAATGTGCAACATTTGTTCTGTACAGGTCCCCATCTACTATATATTTGAGAGAGTTTGTCTGTCTGTGAATGTGTCTGTCTATTCAAGAACTCCTTCTAAATGGTAAGAGCTAGGACCACCAAATTTGGTATGCTGCTTCCTCTTATCATAATTTAAAACAAGGTACGGGTTTGGTTGTGCTAGGGTAATGGAATGTGCCTGGAATATGATTGTTTCTCATAAAATGGAAAGGTAGGGCTCTGCTGTATAATGACCACAGGGGATAAGGAATGGAAACCAGGGACAGTTACACTCAATGGTCTCCAAGAGCAGGGCAGGCAGCCAATGCACTCCTGACCCACTTCCGGGGAACCCCCTGCCATCCTGCACTGCTGTATCAGAGGCACTAGGTCGGGGTGATAGCTGGGAACTGGTCTGCAAGGGAAGCTGGTTTAAAAATTGGCCCCTGTCCATGGGGGAGAGAGGGGCAAGCTTCCTATGGACAGAGACTGTGCCGGCATCCCACCTACCTCCCCCTCCCTCCACTTCCCACCTAGCCCCAAGCTGCTGCGGTGAGAGAATGTTGGGGTAGTCCTTTCTCCCTGGGGCAGCCTGTATACTGAATCCCTCAACTGCAGCCCCACCCCAGTGTGAGGAAGGAAATGTAATTAAATGTAAGAAAAACACAAATCAGTCAAGGTAAGTATCCAAACAACGCTTGGTAAATCTTCTAGTAACTACATATATCAATACGTTTGTTTATTCCTAGCTCACTGACCTGATGAGGAACAAGCCCAAGAGAGGTGGGTGGTTCATTCATTCTGTCATCACTGCTGCTAGCAACAGCATAACCACTGCCAAAAATCAAATACAGAAAATTAGAACAGAAGACTAATACTGGTGGAAATGGTTCTACTGAAATGTCTGTTGTGACATCTTCACAAAACATTTTTGTTACAAACCAAAGCATCCCCATTTTAAACCTAAAAAACTTTAAAAAGGAGAAAAAAATGTTGATTAAAACAAAAAAATTCATTTTTGTCAAAATTTTCATAGGGTAAAAAAAAAATGTTTCTCATCAGCTTTAAGATGTTTTCATCCATAACTAGCTTATGCTTCAGAGTTTTGATCTTACAAAGGAATCCTTTCAGATTCTTGACAGGCCTGCAAGGATCCTTTTCAAGTGTCTTTTCCAGCAATCCTTTTCCAGCAATCCTTTTCCAGAGCCTCAGAAATGTATCACTCAATCACAGACTTAAATCATAACTTCCTTAATTTTTCTTTTGATAGATTTTAAGGTCAGCTATGACCAGGGCTCGACAAATAATGCAATCTACTCGCCCATGGCTATGACTATTATGATTAGGTATTCGGATGTCCTGAATAACACAGGCCAAAGAATTTCCCCCAGTGATTTCTACTTTGAGTCTAGTAACTTTGGTTTAAGCTAAAAAGATAATTTTTAGCTCACAATGAAGCCGCTAAGGAGCTTCATAGAAAATAGTTAGAAGTAAGTCCTCATTACAAAGAAATATGTCACTAGACATAGGAACCCTAAGATTACTGGCAACATTGGCAGCTTGACCTGCTGCTCACAAACAGGGACGAATTAGCAAGGAAAGCAGATGTGTAGGGCAACTTGGGTAGCACTGATCCTGAGATGGTCAAGTTCAGGATCCTGACCAAAGGAAGAAAGGAAAGCAGCAAAATACGTACCTTGGACTTCAGAAAAGTACACTTTGACTCCCTCAAGGAACTGATGTGCAGGATCCCCTGTGATGCTAACATGTGAGGGAAAGGAATCCAGGAATCCTATATTGTAAAGAAGCCTTATTGAAGGGCTCTGATGCACAGTAAGAAAAACAAATATGGTAGGCGACCAGCTTGGCTTAACAGTGAAATCTTTGGTGAGCTTAAACACAAAAAGGAAGCTTACAAGAAGTGAAAACTTGAGCAGATAACTAGGGAAGGCTATGCATATGTTGCTCAAGTATGCAGTGTAATCAGGAAGACCAAAGCACAACTGGAATTGCAGCTACCAAGGAATGTGAAAGATACCAAGAAAGGATTATACAGGAATGTTAGCAATAAGAAGCTAGTTAGGGAAGGTGTGGGACCTTTACCGAATGAGGGAGTTTACCATGATGTGGAAAAAGCTGAAGTACTCACTGCTTTTTTCCCCCCCTCTGTCTTCAAAGACGAGATAAGTTCCCAGAATGTTGCACTAGGAAGCATAATATGGGAAGGAGAAGGGCAGCACCTCCCTCAAGAAAGAACAGGTTAAGAATTATTTAGAAACACTGAACTAATGCATCCAAGGATGAGGAGGGAATTGGCTGATGTGATTGCAGGGCCATTAGCCATTATTTTTTAAAACTCATAACGATTGGGGGACGTCCTGGACAACTGAAGGGAAAAAAAAGGCAAATGTAGTTTGCATCTTTAAAAAAAGGGAAGAAGGCCAGGGAATTAGAGACCTGTCAGCCTCACCTCAGTCCCTGGAAAAATCATGGAGAGGATCCTCAAGGAATCAATTTTGAAGCACTTGGAAGAGAGCAAAGTGATCAGAAATAGTCAGCATGGATTCACCAAAGGCAAGTCATGCCTGACCAGCCTGACTGCCTTCTATGACAAGGTAACTTGCTCTGTGGACATGGGGAAGGCGGTGGAAATTGACATTAGCAAAGCTTTTTATATGCTCTCCAACAGTATTCTTGCCAGCAAGTTAAAGAAGAATGAATTGGATAAATGGTCTGTAAGGTGGGTAGAAAGCCGGCTGGGTGATGAGGCTCAATGGGTAGTGATCAACAGCTTGACACATCGGGGGTCGGTATCAAGAGGCATGCCGTAAGAGTCAATTTTTGGGTCAGTTTTGTTTAATATCTTTATTAACGACCTGTCTGAGGGGATGGATTGCACCCTTAGCAAGTATGCAATTGACACTAAACTAGCAGGAGAAGTAAATATGCTGGAGGGTACAGATAAAGTCATGAGTTACCTAGACTAATGGGAAGATTGAGCCAAAATAAATCTAATGAGGTTCAAAAAGGACATTTGCGGTGTCCTGCACATGGGATGGAAGAATTTCAAGCACTGCTACAGGCTGGGGACCAACTGGCTAAGCAGCAGTTTAACAGAAAAAGACCTGGGGATTACAGCGGATGAGTAGCTGGATACGAGTCAACAGTGTGCCCTTGTAGCCAAGAAGGTCGATGGCACACTGGCGTGCATTAGGAGAAGCACTGCCAGAAAATCTAGAGAAGTGATTATTCCTCTTTATTTGGCACTGGTGAGGCCACATTTGGAGTTCTGGGCCCCATGTTACAGAAAGGATGTGGACACATTGGAGACAGTAAAGCAGAGGCCAACAAAAATGATTAGGAGACTGGAGCACGACTTATGAGGAGAAGTTGATGGATTTAGGCTTATTTAGTCTACAGAAGAGAAGAGTGAGGGGGGATTTGATAGCAGCCTTCAATTACCTGAAGGTGGATTCCAAAGAGGATGGAGTCCTCAGTGGTGACAGATGACAGAATGAGGAGCTGTGGTCTCAAGTTGCAGAAGAGGAGACCTAGTTTGGATATTAGGAAAAACTATTTCTTTTGGAGGGGTGGTGAAGCACTTGAATGGGTTACCGAGGGAGATGTGTGGTCTCAAGTTGCAGAAGAGGAGACCTAGTTTGGATATTAGGAAAAACTATTTCTTTTGGAGGGGTGGTGAAGCACTTGAATGGGTTACCGAGGGAGATGGTGAAACCTTAATCCCTTGAGGTTTTTAAGTCCCAGCTTGACAAAGCCCTGGTTGCGATGATTTACTTGGGATCGGTCCTGCTTTGAGCAGGGAGTTGGACTCAATGACTCTTGAGGTCTCTTCCAATCCTATGATTTTTTCCTTACTAAAATGTTATGTATTCAATACTTCTTTTAAAGATAACAAAAGCACAAAAACAATAGACAAGTAAAATGTCCCCACTCTTTAACAAGAACTTCACGAGTTTTTCTAATCAAAACCCTGTCTGCATTATTTTAATAATAAGTCTGCATTCCATGATATACCCGTGTATGTTTATTCAAATTCCAAGTTTTCAGGACTTCTTTAATCTATTTAATGTGTCTCAAAAAAGTAAGAGAGATAATTGTTCCCTTCCTCAAAATAACTTTTGTCCTATAAACATCATACATTCTCCTAAAATATGACTCACCCTTCTGGATGTTGTAAAACAGAAGCCATTAGCTCTACGGCAAGGGCTCCAGCTATCATGGCCAATCCTGGTCGACTGACTGTGCACTGCTGATCCAATGTTCGATCCCTGGTGGACTACAAACAAAAACAATTTTACATACATCTGACATTTGAACTTGGCTACCCCACTTACGTAATACATTTTTAATACTTTCATTCAAAGAATAAAGAATGGAAATCTCTCTCTTAGTAACAGTAAAAGGGATTTGCTATAAATAAACTTCAATTATGGTGACAAATGAGGTTTCCTAAAGGAATCATTTTAATGCAATAAAAACCAAACAATATGAAATAGGACCACAGTAATTATTCACACAAAGTTCTACGCACGTCCCCTGGTGCCACAACATCATTGCAGAAGTAGCATCCAAGTTTATAGCCAGGAATGTTTGAAAAGAGCGATGATCCCAGGAGATCAGCAGAGCTAGAGGGATTGCTGGAACATGAATCACCAGACTCCTGCTGCTTTGGTTTCTTTAGTCCATGTCTCATCACAACAAATGTGTCAAATCCTAATGCAGCATTGATGACCAGCTATAAAAAATAAAGAAGAGCACAAATAGCTAATGAAAAAGCAGCTTATGTTTTGATAAATATAAGTTTATTACTACAATCCAATATAACCACTTTTACAGAATTCCAAATCACCGCAATTTTCTTCATATGCTATATTTCCAAAAATACTATCTGCATTTAGGAGAATACATACAAACCACACATCCTATTATCAGACACGTCAGATTTACGGAAGAGAAGTAAATTGCAGAGTTGGACCCCTACAGAATGCTATGCTCAGACTCGATGTGGATTGTGTTTTCTGAAAGGGTAAACAAACAAGTGCCTCTATGGAAGATATTTTGTGTGCTGTGAAAATAAAAGAGGAAGAAATGTAAAAAATACCTCTTTTATTAAAAAGAGGAGAAAAATACCATGAGACTTTCAGAACATAACAAAAGAACTTCAGAATGGCCATACTGGCTCAAACCAATAGCTCATTTAGCCTAGTATCCTGCCTTCAACAGTGGCCAGTGCCAGGTGTTTCTGCGGAAATGCACAGAATAGGAAACTTATCAAGTGATCCATTCCCTGATCCACTCCTACCATCTGTAATCAGAGGTTAAGTGGTGGCATCCCTGACCATCTTGACTAATAACCATTGATGGTCCTATCCTCTATGACAGTGTTTCTTAAATTGTGTTCCACGGCACACTGGTGTGCCACAAGGCAGTCAGAGGTGTGCTGCAGAGAACAACAGAATTCAAAATGGCCACCCTTAAAGGGGCAGGTGACCTTTTTTCCCTCAATAACTTTCTCCCAACCCCTTTTCCCCCCCTCAATAACTCCCCTGCCTCCCACCTGACCTTTTCCCCCTCAACCAAAAATCCTTGGTGTTCTTCACACAAAAAAATTGTTTGGTGTTCCTCAGTCTTAAAAAGTTTAAGAAACGCTGTTCTATGAACTTAACTAAATCTGTTTTCAGTATAGTTTTGGCCTTCACAACATCCCTTAGAAACAATTTTCACAAGTTGACTGTACACTGAGTGAGGTAGTACTTCCTTTTGTTTTAAACTTACTACTACTTTCATTAGCGGATCCCTGATTCAGACAAATACCTGCCTCCAACTTAGAAAGGGCTCTTGTATGATCCAATTGTTTTTAAAGTATTTTGCAAAAGCCTGAGTCTTGCAACAGGGATAAATGCCCAGTTTTGGAGAAGAAATAGGGGCAGCCAGGACAGAATGGAAAAAGGGGACTGTCCTGGCCAAAATGGGACAATATCATCACCCTAGCCAGCTCATGCCCTTTTCTTTCCAACCTGCAGAGCCATCCCATCTATAGTACAGACTGGGGCAAATGCCTTGGGCCCTGTGCTTCGGAGCATGTGGGGCAAGAGCAGGGAGCCCCAGGAGCTTAAGGAGTGGGGACTGGTGCCAGCAGCAGGCATTGGGCCCGTGCCCCTGGGCATTTCTTCTTTTTATTTATTTATTTTGCCAGCAGCCTCTCTGGACTCCAGCTGCTCAGGGGACACGTCTTTGCTCTTCCCTCTGCTGGCTGCCGCAGGGTCCTAGTGCTTCACTAGTGCCACTCCAGCAGCCTTCACAGGGCAACCTGACTCTGGACCTGCTTCCACTTTGGGGGACGGAACCTTTTCTTTTCGAACAGCAGGAGGCACCACGAGCAGAGGTGGCCCCCTCTTAGCACAGGTGAATGCCAGCAGTCAGGATCTATCCGGCTCCCTTGCCCAGAACTGGTATCTCCCAAGGCCTCATAGCTCCCTCTTCCATTGTCCTTTCTCCCCTTTCCCAGCACTGGATGTGGTGTGTCCTTGACACCAAGCTACAGGCTAAGGGCACCAGCCCTTATCATCCCTCTGCCTAAGGATCCTACTCGCCTTTTTCAGCTCTCCAGCAGCAGGCTCAAGACTTGGGGTTCCCCTCCCAACAGCACCAGGACCTAGGGACCCCACAATCTCCCTCCCACACCGGCACTGGCAAATTACAGAAAAGCAGCAGAGGGTTCCCATTGATTGCCACCATGTTACGAGCTTTAAAACTCAACCTTTTAAAGGGCTCTGAAATTTGAATGGTTGCTCTGATTGCCTGCTGGGGTTGCTGAGTAGCACTAGTGACCCAAATATCGAATTACCTGGCCAAGGGACCCCTGAGTTATACACGCTGCTCCCCAAACCTGTTTCCTTCTCTTTTGTTAAATAGAAAACAAGGTACTAAGTATGTCTGGATGAATCAGACAGACGTGACTGAGATAGATGGTTGTGAACTCACCTCTCCATCAGTTAACGTAACTAAGGATAAGTCAACCACAGCCCCATTGGATAAAAGGATTTTTGGAATAGATGCCTGGAGGATGCTAGCATAGGGATAGAGATGCAGCCGTGTTAGTCTGGTCTAGCTGAAACAAAAGACAGGACTATGTAGCACTTCAAAGACTAACAAGATGGTTTATTAGGTGAAAAAGGAGTGCCATAAATCTGGAAATACTGGACGCCCGATCATCTCGGGCATTGGCACTCGCACTGCAGGACTTTCTGGATATGTGGACTCTACTCAGACCCTACACCACCAGCTATCTCCGAGACACCATTGACTTCCTGAGAAAACTACAATGCATTGGTGATCTTCCAGAAAACCCCATCCTAGCCACCATGGATGTAGAGGCTCTCTACACCAACATCCCACATTTAGATAGAATACAAACTGTCAGGAACAGTATAGTATCCCTGATGATTCCACAGCACAACTGGTGGCCGAGCTCTGTGACTTTATCCTCACACACAACTATTTCAGATTTGGGGACAATTTATATCTCCAAACCAGTGGCACTGCTATGGGCACCCGCATGGTCCCACAATATGCCAGCGTTTGTATGGCTGACCTGGAACAACGCTTCCTCAGCTCTCGTCCACTAGCACCCCAGTGATTTCAACAGTTTCCACCCCACCATCAACCTCAGCCTGGACCAGAATCCACAAGAGATCCACTTCCTGGGCACTACAGGCAAATAAGTGATGGTCACATAAACACCACCCTGAACCTACTGAAACACCACCTGCTGATCGCTATTCCTACCTACGTGCCTCCAGCTTCCATCCCAGACACACCACATGATCCATTGTTTACAGCCAAGCACTAAAGTACAACTGCATTTGCATCAACCCCTCAGACAGAGACAAACACCTACAAGATCTTCACCAAGCATTCCTGAAACTACAATACCCACCTGAGGAAGTGAGGAAACAGATTGACAGAGCAAAATGTGTACCCAGAAGCCTCCTGCTACAAGACAGACCCAACAAAGAAAACAATAGAACACCATTAGCTATCACCTGCAGTCCCCAGCTAAAACTTCTCCCACACATCATCAATGATCTGCAACCCATCCTGGACATTGATCCCTCACTCTCACAGTCCTTGGGAGGTAGGTCAGTCCTCACCCACAGACAACCCGCCAACCTGAAGCAAATTCTCACCAACAACTATACACCACACCACAGTAACTAACTCAGGAACCAATCCCTGCAACAAACGTCGGTGCCAACTCTGCCCACATATCTACACCAGCAAGACCATCACAGGACCTAACCAGATCAGCCATACCATCACGGGCTCATTCACCTGCACATCTATCAATGTAATATATGCCATCATGTGCCAGCAATGCCTCTCTGCCATGTACATCAGCCAAACTGGACAGTCCCTACATAAAAGAATGAACGGACACAAATCGTATATCAGGAATGGTAATATACAAAAACCTATGAGAGAACACTTCAATCTCCCTGGACACACAGCAGCAGATTTAAAAGTAGCCATCCTGCAACAAAAAACTTTAAAAACAGACTTCAAAGAGAAACTGCAGAGCTACAATTCATCTGCAAATTTGACACTATCAGTTTAGGATTAAACAAAGACTGTGAATGGCTAGCCAACTACAAAAGCAGTTTCTCCTCCCTTGGTGTTCACACCTCCACGCTAGAAGGGAGCCTCATCATCCCTGACTGAATTGACTTTGTTATCTCTAACCCTACTCTTGATTGGAATTGTTTTCTTATGCCTGTATATTTATAACTGCCTCTTGAATTTCCACTGTATACATCTGATGAAGTGGGTCTTTGCCCACAAAAGCTTATGCTCCAATAAATCTGTTAGTCTATATGGTGCCACAGGACTTCTTGTTGTTTTTGCAGATTCAAACTAAGATGGCAACCCACTGAAGATCTTAGAAGTGTCACATTGGACACCCAAAATAAGTGGATACTTTTTACCTTAATCTCTCTAGGATGTCATTCCCCATTTATTCAATGGGATTAGTAACACCCCTTCACCTCACCAAAGTAAAGTGAAAATAAATTCACTGACATTAGTGAAACACTCAGATAACTAGGGTATGTCTACACTACCACCCTAGTTCGAACTAGGATGGTTAATGTAGGCAACCGAAGTTGCAAATGAAGGCCGGGATTTAAATATCCCGGGCTTCATTTGCATCTTGCCTGGCGCCGCCATTTTTAAAGCCCCGGTAGTTCGGACTCCGTGCCCGTGGCTACACGCAGCACGGAATAGGTAGTTCGGATTAGGCTCTCTAATCCGAACTACCGTTACTCTTCGTGGAGGGTTCAAGTATATGATGGCCTCAGGATTGGTGTGCAGGAGCTTGCTGGCCAGGAGTGGGGCAGGGTGCAGGAACAGGCTGGAGGCAGGGTGTCTGGCTAAGGGAGGGAGCCGGATGTGTGGAGTCTCAGCAGGGGGGTAAATGGGTGGGCTGGGAGGGTGTGGGGTCTTTTTAGGAGGGGTGTGACGGGGTCTGGGCATGAGGAGGTGGGGTACCACTTACTTGCTTTCATATTGCAGGTATCTTGTAGCACGGCCTCCTGCACCTTCCATTCACTGGATTCTGGCCAATAGGAGCAAAGGGGAAGCCTCCAAGAAGCACATCCCTGTGAGGCCATTTCCCCAGCCAGAGGAAGGAAAACAGCAGAATGCAGAGCCGCTTTTGGCCCTGCTTGTTCCCTGCAC